CTTGAAGCAAAAAAAAATTAGCAAATTCGATTTATCAGCCATTTCTGTCTGATTTTGTAAACAAAAAGTCAAAGTTAATTCAAAAATCATTTAAAATTCAGTTACACCTTTTTCTTTTGTTATCTTAGGAAATTTAGAATGATTAAAGTATACTTAATGTAATTTGAAAGAAACATTACTTACTTTTTTAGCAGAAAATTTTTAATAGAGATTTGTTTGTAATTTTAGTGTGCTCCCCCCTCTTTTTGGTCTTCATTGTCGTTAATATTTTTTTCGTTGGTTAATTATCCAACGATTGTCTCCTGATGAGATGTTGGTTGAAAGGGCCTTAGAGACTTTTAAAATTAAAATCAATACATTCCTTGTTTTTAAAACTATATATAAATTTTGTACCTCTAAGCATTTGCTTATATATATATATATATATATATATATATATATATATATATATATATATATATATATATATATATGTATATATTCACGTAACTAATTTATGTATACGAATTCAAACTTTTATACATACCTTTATGTCCTATCTTCAGCCGGTTTCCTCGTGAATTAAAAAATATTTATGCACAAAATCCTATATATTTAATCAGGGCCAGTACAAGGATATCGTGCCCGCCACCAACTCCGAATCTATGAAACAGGGACCCCAACTCTATTACATCTCAATTTTCAGAAGATAATATTCATATAAAATACAAATTTTATTGTAACTTAATTATGTACAATAATGGATCATATACAATATAGGCGAACAATTCAACTAGAAAAATCGAAAATAAATACAATGTATCTAAATACAAATTAGAGACCTGTCGACAATGTTTTGCGGTAATTTCTAACATCGACTTGAGATTTTTCTGGTTAAAAAGTTGAATAATGTGAACGCATTAAAAATTTTGGATAAAAAAATACTGTATTTTATATATCTTTTTCGAGACTTAGCATAAGCAAAATAAAATCACGGATTTAGACGAAAAAAAAACAAAAAACAAAGACCCCAGAATGACTTCAAAATCAGCAAAGATTTTTCATTCTTTAAAATTTTAATTTGTAACGTATATAAATGTAGGTAAAAAAAAAATATCTTGATAAGATAGCGAGGGTCACAAATCACTGCCCCCCCCACCAAACAAGCATGTACGGACCCTGTATTTGATATATGTACACACATGTACACACAAAAGCACCAATCTGCATAGATTAAAAATGTTTCCTAAAATAGACATAATTTTTAAAATTTGTAAATGAAAATAGAATAAGAAATATTTGTCTATTCAGTTCGGGAATCAAAACGTGCAACACTTGAATCCATTTCATCATATCGGTTAAATAACAAATTTGGAACTATTTAAATACACTGGTCCAGTCGTAAAATAAATGGAGAAATAGGGTGTTAGCATTATTTAGACCTTTCGTAAGCCGCACCATTTGTCAGAATCTAAAAATATTGATTTTTAATTATTTTAGAAGGTGGGGGTGTTGTTTTCATGACATCGATACACTGTAAAATTGATTTCTGATTTATCGAAACTTAGATCTTTACAAAGATCAAGTGTGAAACTGTGCTTATTCCATTGATATGTTAATTTTACAAATAAGATCTCTTTCAAAAAAGAACAAACGTAATCCTCTACCTTGAGTGGCTCTTGGCCCTTATACAGAGTAAACGTTATTGAATAAAAAAAAAACAAATATATATATTTTATAGGTTTTATTTTTAGAAAATATTCTTTAACAAGCAATTGTTTTTTTTTTTTTTCTTCTTTTTTTTTTACAAAAATATCTTTTGTTTTTAATCTTGTCACATGGGGTGTTTTGTTACCCTAACATTTTCAAAGTATTCACAATTGCTAGTTAACAGCGTGTATATTTTGTTCTCTCCCAGTACTCTCCTGGCGCAATGAGTGTGTGTAGCACGTGGTGTGACACAGTTGTAGCTCTGTTGTCGTGGGACGCAACCATCATGGGACCATCCATTTTCGGAAAACCGTGACTAACTCAGGGTTAAAAAGCAAAAAGATGTATTCATATATATATATATATATATATATATATATATATATATATATATATATATATATATAGAGAGAGAGAGAGAGAGAGAGAGAGAGGGGGAATCTAAATGAAATAATAATAAAAAAAAAAAACGGAAGAATATTAATCTACAACCCAGTGTGTCTGGAGATTTTAATTTTTTAATATTTTTTATTGTTTTTTTTTAATATTTTTTATTATATATATTAACAAACGCATAAAAAATGCAGATGTCAATGACCGTAGCACATTGACAAGGTACCGCATTTGTAAATAAATAAAAACTAAGTACAGATAACTCTGTAAAAGTCAGAGATCAATTTGACACTGTATCGATATTATGAACAGGGCCTCCCTTCTTAAATGACATTAAAAAAAGATCAATTCTTACAAACATCGCTGCTTGAAAAAGGTCCACAAAATGCTAATCTACAGGGTGTCCATAAAGTATATTAACAATTTAAAAAATATATTACAAAGGCAATTGATATGGGACCACTGCTAGATGACCTTCAACCAAACATCATTTTCCATCAAAATGGTGCACCACCACACTGGGGACTGCATTTTCATGAGTTCCTTAATCAAACATATCCAGACCAGTAGATTGGAAGGGATAGCCGAATTCCCCGGCCACCTCGTTCATCAGATATCACTCCTCTGAACTTTTTTCTATGGGGTTATTTTAAAGATATCGTGTATCGAACAAAGATACGGAACATCACTGATCTAAAGCAAAAGATCCGTGACGTCATTGCCACCATTAATGAGGCTATGCTACAGTGAACGTGGCAAGAAATTGTGTACCGTCTTGATGTGCTTCGTACAACTAACGGTGCTTATTAAATTACCGTATTTGACGGCATATAAGACGCACGGGTGTATAAGACGCACCCCAATTTCAGCAAGGCAAATTAAGAAAAAATTAGTAATTAGTAAAATTAGCAAAATTATTAGTAAATGGTACAGCCTAGGCTATATTTATGAGGTATTATTTTGGTTAAACAAGTCATGATTATAATTAAACGAAAAAAAAATAGGAAGAAAAATAACACGAGCCTATAAAAAACTTTGTTATATCCAAAGGTAAGAAAACAAAATAAAAATCAAGCAATTATTACAATTGAGCAAAACAATACAGTTTCCATTAAAATTCAATCCAAAATTTCTCCTGTATATGATCTGTACAACCTGCATCTTGTAAACGTCTTATTGGAATAATTTCGATATAAAAATTCTGATTGTATTTATACCAATGGAACCGGAAGTTATCGGAAGAAAAATATTAATGAAATAAATATATTTTACAAATATATAATTTGAATCTATTGCATATGATTTTTGAGAAACAAAGCGTGATTAAATTAATATTATGAATATTATCAATGATGACACTTTTAATCAGTATTATAATAGCCTTTTAATTAATGACAATAGGTACATGAAAGTTTTTCTATAGTCTAACCTAATAGGAGTTGCCAGGTAGCTAATTTTGGCCAACTATTGTGAATTTTAAACCTACATATGGGATATAAGACGCAGGAGAATTTTAAAAGATATTTTTAGCAAAAAAAAAAAAAAAAGTGCGCGTTATATGCCGTCAAATAGGGTAGTTAAAAAAAACAATATCTACTTCTCATTTTGTGACAATTTCCACATACTTGACTCTTCATTTGTTTTGTAATATTCTTTGAAATTGTAAAGAGATTTTATGAACACCTTGTATAAGAAAAAAAAAACTCTCTGGAAATTTTTGTTCTCTATCTTTTTTTATTTTTTTTAACAATAGACCAGTCTATTTAAGTAGCACAAATTTTTACCAATTCATCGAAATATAATTTTTTGATAGACATACATTATCCAAAACAAGATAGAAAATTTCATTTTGTGAGTGAATTAGTCATGAGCGTTTATGAGCGCCTGTGATTTACACACGTCTCTGCTCATGCGCTCTAAAACAATCTACAAACTTTCCTTGATTGAAAGAATTAGCCACCCAGTGAGGAACGAAGCTTTCCGAGTGTCGCTAGCGAAACAAGCATATCACGATATACGCACATTCAAAATCTATATATGTTTAATGATTTTTTAATTTTTTCAGAAAGGTAGAAAGGGAGTTTCTCAACCGAATGAGATCCTCATTTGGTACGCCACAGTTCTTGCCTTAAGCCAGACTTGCTAATTTTAGCAAAACACACACATACACACATGGGCGCGCGCACACAGCGCGCATGCACACAATTTTATTTATGCGAGACACATAGGTACTACTCTCTCCTTTTTAGACGTGTCAGAATTAAAGAGAAACGGGACAGACACACACACACACACACACACACACACGCACACACACAAACACACACACACACACATACAGACAGACACATACACGCGGGTACACATACTCGAATGTACACTTACACACACGCACGAGCGTACAGATGCATATACAGACACACGGGTATATATACGTACACACATATAATCGCTTAATTAAAAATAACAAAAATATCTCTAAGCATACATAAAATGTGCAAATATTTTTTTTAACTAGAAAATGAAATATCGAGTTCTCTCCCCTTAACTATGCCTTGGGGTAGTAGAGATTTTTTTTTGTGGGGGGGAAGTAAGGCGTGGCAGACATGGGAAAAAAATCATCAGTCATAAATTACGGTAAAGAAGGCGGGAACCATAGGCGGAGCTTGCCGTATAATGGAGTTTAAAGGTATACACATGTTTTTCCATGTAATTTGAATACATTGTGTGTGTTTCTTTCATTCTTTCTTTATTCCTTTCTTTCTTTCTTTCTTTCTTTATTCCTTTCCTTTCTTTCTTTCTTTCTTTCTTTCTTTCTTTCTTTCTTTCTTTCTTTCTTTCAATGATTTCCTGTATTCGTCTTTATGCCTTTCTTTCTTTTTTTGGGCACCAATTTTTCATGTTTTTCTTTCTTTCAG